CTGCAATATTTCTGTGAAGATTTTCAAGGACTTGGTTTGTACCATGCACTATTTTTAGTACTATTCTTAGTTCATTATATCTATTCATGCACTTATCTAATTCTCACAACTCTCTAAAATATGTCAAGTATGCAGTATGGGACCCCCATTTTATCCCTATTTTACAGATGAGGAAGTTGAGGCACAGAGAGGCAAAGGACCTGCGGCTGAACGTCGGAGTTGGGTTTGAACCTGGGCCATCTCTCTCCGAAGCCCGGACTTCTTCCCCTCAGATTGGGTGGAGGAAGCCACACAGTGGATACTGTGAGCCAATATGGAAGAATGCTTAGAAGACAGCAGTGAATGGGCCGGCACCACAGCTCACTAGGCTAATCCTCCACCTGCGGCGCCGGCACACTGGGTTCTAGTCCCAGTCGGGGCACCGGATTCTGTCCCAGTTGCTCCTCTTGCAGTCCAGCTCTCTGCTGTGGCCAGGGAGTGCAGTGGAGGATGGCCCAGGTGCTTGGGCCCTGCACCCCATGGGAGACCAGGAGAAGCACCTGGCTCCTGGCTTCGGATCAGTGCAGTGCGCCAGCCGCAGCAAACCGGCTGCAGCGGCCACTGGGGGGTGAACCAATGGAAAAGGAAGACCTTTCTCTCTGTCTCTCTCTCTCTCTCACTGTCCACTCTGCCTGTCAAAAAAAAAAAAAAAAAAAAAAAAGGCAGTAAAAAATAACACCGGACCGTGGGAGACCAGGATTCAACCCAAATCCTCTAGGATAAAGTACTCTAAGGAGGGGCAGCCACGGCCACCAGCGCTCACGGTGATTAAATCAACTCCTGGCTGATCACTGCAACTGTTCTTTACCAGCTCTTTGTCTGTGCCCTGCCCTGTGCTACAGGCTTCACCTGCTGTATCTTTCCAAGCACTGCTGAAGTCGGCAAGTCCATATCTGTTGGAGATACTAGGGCACTGGGCTAGGAGAGAGGCAAGCGCTTGCTCAAAGTTATCCAGCCAGGAAGTGGGAGAAGCAGGATTCAAACCCACATTTGTCAGCTCCCTGAGTCAGTAAACCACCCAGCCTCCTTCTCCTTCTGAGTTTTCAGTAACGAGACTATGTGATTTTCATAATGGAAAAATAAATGAAGTCTCCATTAAAAGATTAGGCCAATTTATCCTAATTTTGTTAGCCATGTGCATTACTTTGATAAAAATCTAAACCCCTACCTCACACCACGCAACAAAGATCAGTGCCAGATAGATTGCCAACCTTAATGTAACATGGAATGATGAAGCAGTTGGAAAATAACATATGAGAGCATCAGTGTGTTTTAGAAGTATAGAAATATTTCTTAAGCAAGATGTACAAGTCACTATCTATAAAGGAAAAGAGTGCTAAAATGGGCTATGCTAAAGTTAAAACTTTCTGTTCATTGGAAGATGCTTCTAGGAGTGAGAAGACAGGCCGTAGAGCAGGAAAAAATGTTTATTGTACATACAACTAGCAGATGGCTCATACCAGTGTATAGAAACAGCAAATCCACTTAAAAATGGGCAACCCCACAGCAAACAGAGCAAGACACTTGAACAGGCACCTCCCAAAGAAGGACACCAAGCGACCACTATGCAAACGAGAATGTGCTCAATTTTATTACTCATCAGGTAAATGCAAATTCAAACTACAAGCAGCTGCTGCTACTACTACACACCCATCAGAATGACTAAAAATAAAACACGTGACATTGCCAAGTGTTGGTGAGGATGTGGAGCAATGGAAGCGCTCCAACAAGGCTGGTGGGAGGAGAGGAAATTATTACAATCACTTTGGGAATCTCTTTGTCAGTATCTAATAAAGACAAACACCGGGAGACCCCGTGACCCAGAGATTCTATTGCTGGGTTAATACTCAGTGTGTATTTATGACACCAACCAAGTATGCACTAGAACGTGAGCAGCGGAAGTATTTGTAAGAGTAGAGAAAGAACTCAAAGGTCTGTTGACAGTTGGTAGAGAAATCAATCGTGTCTTCACACAGTGGAATACTACTTGGCAACCCAGCCCAGATGAATTTCATAATCCTACTGCCGAGTGAAAGAAGCCAGACATGAGGGTTCCTACTGTGTAATTTCCATTTATATCACATGCAAAAATAGGCAAAATGCAGCTACTGGGCCTAGGGAGGCGCAGTTGCTGGGGTTAGGGTGGGGAGACCAAAGCCTCGTCCCGGTGAGTTAAGTGGATGCTTGGCGAGGAAGAAAGCAGTGTGGAGAGGAGGAAGAGGGGTTTAGGAGGTGCTGGTAACATTCGATTTCTTCACTTAAGGAACATTTATGTTTTCTGGGTTTTTCTGTATGTATATCAAATTTCATCATTAAAAGGTTTGAATCATTTTAAAAGAACTTAGAAAAGTAGGCTCATTGTAGCCTTAGCTGACAAACTGGGTAGACCAGATGTCTTGGATGTAATACTAATTGGAAGGACAGTGTGGGGCCCTGGCTCTGTGCTGGGCACTGCTCTAAGTGGCTTATCTCTGTTAACCTATTTGGTCCTCACACAACAGCCCTGTGAGGAAGTTACTGCTAATTATACCCAGGTGCAGATGGAGAAACTGAGGCACGGGGGGCTAAGCCTTTGCCTAAGCTAGTCAGTGCTTGGCTGGATTTAAACACAGGCCTTGTGGCCCAGAGCAGGTGCAGTGTCCACCACGTGGAGGTCATGGTGATGGCAGCCGATGCGAGGCCTCATCTACCCCATCAGGTGCCACCTCCCCGATTCCAGCCGAGCTTTGCAACATGGGTGCGTGGAATTCAAGGGCTCTATGAAGCTGGAGGGGAAAAAATTACCTCTTTCTTTGCTTTTATTATCCTTTAATTCAGCAGTCCTGCAATGTGATCTAGGACCCTCGGGGTCTCCCAGGATCCCTTTCTGGGGGGTAATGAGTTCAATACTAGTTTCATAATGGATCTAAGGTGTGTTTGCCCTCTTCCCTCTGCAAAGGTACGATGACATCATCGCTGTGCTAGTGCCTGACCTGTGATGACGTCATGGCTCCACCATCACCTGCTCTGTGATGACGTCACCACCCTACCAGTGCCTGACCTGCGATGATGCCACCGCTCTGCCAGCCAAGGGAATGTTGGCATGAGCATTCTTGTGTTTAATTCTCAGTTTCCTTTTTCCTACATGGTACATATTAATAGGAGCAGCTCACACACAAAAGAGCTCGGCCATTTTAAAGTGAAATGTCCGAGGAAATCTGTGATGATGATTTAGCCCATGCTCTCTCCCCAGGCAGGCAGCGGACCTGAGGCTCTGGGGGCTCTGCCGGGAGACATCGCAGATATTTTCAAATCCTGTGGTCACAGGACTCTCATCAAAACTTCCAAACCGCACCCACGTGGGAGACCCGAAGGAAGCTCCTGGCTCCTAGCTTGGGCCTGGCCGGGCCCTGGCTATTGAGCCATCTGGGGAGCGAATCAGTGGATGGAAGCGCGCGCGCTCTCTCTCTCTCTCATCTATGCCTTTCAAATAAATAAATAAATCTCAAAAAAAAATACTTCCAGATTACCTTCGCTTTGGGAACTCTTTTTTTTTTATTTTATTTTATTTTTTTTTTTGACAGGCAGAGTGGACAGTGAGAGAGAGAGAGAGACAGAGAGAAAGGTCTTCCTTTTGCCGTTGATTCACCCTCCAATGGCCGCCGCGGCTGGCGCGCTGCGGCCGGCGCACCGCGCTGATCCGATGGCAGGAGCCAGGAGCCAGGTGCTTCTCCTGGTCTCCCATGGGGTGCAGGGCCCAAGCACCTGGGCCATCCTCCACTGCACTCCCTGGCCACAGCAGAGGGCTGGCCTGGAAGAGGGGCAACCGGGACAGAATCCGGTGCCCCGACCGGGACTAGAACCCGGTGTGCCGGCGCCGCTAGGCGGAGGATTAGCCTAGTGAGCCGCGGCGCCGGCTCCGCTTTGGGAACTCTTAATGAAGAAGTTCAGATATTACCACATCCCACACGTTAGAAAAATATTTGTGTCTCCGTAACACCCCAGCGGCGGTTTCTTTTGTAATTATGCATGTTTATTTAGAGTCTATAATAACGTGACCTTGAGAAGGGCCTCACCAGCCTGCCGCAAAAAGGGGTTAAGAACCTTGCATTCTGGAAGACCACCAGGTCAAGGAAAAGCAAGCGACGCTTATTACTGGATGCCGTTGTCCCAGTGGGCACAGGCGAAGCTAAGAGCTGCTTGTTGCGTTTTAAGTTGGAACAGAGACTTTGGAAGGTGGGGACGAAATCAATTGACGAAAAAGCCTCATCTTGGACACACACCCTGCAGCCCCCACCCCCGGTCCCACCCAGTCTCTGAAACTGGTGTCCAAACCTTGCAAAAACCAAAAAGCCAAATCCCGAGTTCATCTGGTCCATGGAATCCAGACCCCTAGACCCTGGCAGCCACTCCTCCTGGGGCCAGGGGCTCCCAGCATATTTCAAACACCTGCCAAGGGCCCGAACCACTGCCTCCCACCCTGGCCCCACCGGGGGCGGGTTCTGGAATCTTCCATCAATAACAACAAAAAAAAACACAGCAGCTCCTTGTCACCCTGCCATCACCCCAGGCCAGGCGCGTTCTCAGCATGACAGCTCCTGTGTGGACTCGTCCAGCCCTCACAGCAGCCCGTGGGGTGAGCAGGTCTGGCGCCCCGTTTTACAGGTGAGAAAACCGAGGGCCAGCGAGGTGGAGCAACCCGCCCCGGGGCGCGCGGCGCTGTCCTGCGTAGATTCTGAGTTTGTGTTTTCTGGGTGCCCCCGGGGTCCGAGGAGGAGTCAGCGGGCAAAGCTTGCAGCGGGAGGAAGCGGAAGGAACTGCGAGGAAGATAAAGCTGGCGCGACTGAAAGGATGGGGGTTTCCCCCGTGCCCGCACACCTGGGACCCAGGATCGGGCAGCGCCAGGGCTGGGGGCGGGCTCCGTGCTCTGAGGTCCCCGCAGCTGGGGAGTGGGGCGCCTGGGGGGATGCGCGCAGCCTTACCTGTCGGGCGCTCACCTGGTGCTCAGCGTGGAGGTGGCGGCGGCGGCGGCGGCGAACCTGGCCTCCCTGGGTCTCTCTTCAAGCGCCCCGCCCTGAGGGGTGACGGACGGGTGGGCGTGGGGCGCCAGGGACCGGCCCGACCTGTGGGACCCGGGGCCCCGGCTGTCTGGGGTGCCCGTCACCTCGAGGCAGCTGGCGCTTCCGGGGCTTGGTCTGCTGTGGGCGGCAAGAGGCATTGGCGCCCGCAGACTCATAAATACTGCGGTGGCGCTGGTGGCCGGAGACGCGCGCGGGCAGCCGGCGCCCCCGAGGGTGAGCCGGGGTCCGGAGGGTGCCCCCATCTCAGCTCCCGGCCCCTGGGCCAACAGCAGCAGTCGGTTCGGCCCGGAAAGGGCCGTGGGGGCGGGGGGAGCTGGAGAGGGAACTGGAGCAGGCGTGGAGAGGCTGGGGAGACCAGGCTGGGAGCTGGCGCGCAGGTGCCACTTACAGGCAGGATGCGATGCCGGGGCTGGGCGAGGACAGACTTGGCGCGGAGGGAGGGTAGAGTAGGACTGGGGTCACGGTGACCCACGAGGAAGGCTGAGGATGGGGGTAGAGGCGGTGAGGTCCCCGGCACAGGGTGACCCCCAGGAATCGGGGAAGATGGAAGAAAGTGGGTCCCCAAGAGCAGAATGGAATGCCGGGGGTGGCCAAGCCAGCCTCCTGCACGGAGCGCCCCAGCGTGAAGGAGGGGGCTAGGAGCAGGACTCAGGAGCCAGGCCCTGGGAGGGTGAGGGTTGTTGGTATGTGTGTGTGTGTGTGGGGGGGGGCTCTGTTCTGGCTCCATCACATCCTAGCTGTCCTCTGAGTCACTGGCTTGCACAGTAACTCATCTGGGACTGGGGGTGCTGTGTGAAATGCCAGGAGGATGCATGAGTTCACCTTCGCGAGGTGCTGAGTGTGCAGCCAGAGCCGCCCCACAGCCAGCCTCATTTGTGTTTTCTCTCCAGCAACCACAGAACCCCCTACCCCCACTGCAAAGCCCTCGCTCCCTGCCTCCCTCCCCGCCAGGGACGTCAGCAGCGCCTGCTCTCCCTCCTCCTCCACCCTCCCAACCCTCTCCTGCTGCTCTGAGAAGTCTGCAATTGGCCCCCTGCCCAGGGGCCCCCTGCCATGCAGCCCCTTCCTGGCTGGCCCCACTGCTGGCCCTGCTTCTGTCTGCTTCTCCTGGCCTCCCTGGGCGCCCGCGGGGCTCTACAGTACCCCAGAGCTGCCCCCGAGCAAGTCCACCTGTCCTACCTAGGTAAGTGCCAGCCACTTGCTGCCCTGTGCCCCTGCTGGAGCTCCACTGGTGGAGGGGCTCAGGAGCCCAGTGGTGACTGCGGTGTTTTGCTCTTCCTGAGCCTCAGTGTATCGCCTCTGTAAAATGGGTTCAAGCAGGGGTGGTCGTGTGGGAAGGGACGACAGTGGCCGGCCCATGGTGAGTGCTGCCGGGCCTTCTCAGGGGCCTGCTGCTGACTCTGCTCATGTGTCCCTGTCCTGTCTCTAGAGCCTGATGCCCTCGTGACATACTAGGGCTTAAAATCACTTGTGGGAAAACCTGTGTTTGTGTGTGTGTGTGTGTGTGTGTGTGTGTGAAGTACACAGCTAGCAGGCCTAGCCCTTTCTCCACCCCCACCCTCCCACCCCTGTCCTCCTTATCTCCTGGTTGCCTCCTGATCCAAGAGCCACGAAGGGGCAGGAAGAGTCTGGACCCCAGACTGCCTGGGTCTGAAGCCCAGCTTGGCCGCTGTGTGACCTTGGGCAGGAGACCTGACCTCTCTGGCCTCGGCTCCTGGTGAAGCAGAACAGAGCCAGGAGCTCAGGGGCACTTCCAGCTCTGGGTCCCTTCACACGGCCTAGAGTTCCCAGAGACCACAGCGAGATGTGGTTTTCGTGAGTCATATCTGTCAGTGTTTCCCATGTTAGAAGCAGAGACTGAGACATCTAAGAAATTTACCTGGTGAGTCACGTAAAATGAACAGTAATGTAGATGATATGTTTTAAAAGGTGTATTTATTTATTGGAAAGGCAGAGTGAAGGGGGTAGGGAGAGACATCTTCATCCACTGGTTCACTCCCCCAATGCCTGCACCAGCCAGGACTGGGCCATGCTGAAGTCAGGAGCCTGGAACTCAATCCAGGGCTCCCACGTGGCTGGCAGGCGCCTCACCACCGCGGCCATTGCCTGGTGCCTTTTAGGGTGTGCTTTAGCAGGAGGCTGGAGTCGGAAGCAGAGCTGGGACTCAGCCGTGGGATGATCATCGGGCCGGACGCCTGGCCCTGGCTGACTCATTGCACCCTGTGTCACCCTTGAGCTTTTTACAAAAGGGTGAGGAGTGTGACCCCAGGTCACGTGACCCAGGCTCCAGACTGTGGGTAGGCTGCCCCGGGGGCCTGCTATCTTTGTTTTAAAAGTTAATTTCATACTAATTTTAGATCTAACAGAAATACTATAAAAATATACCCACAACTCCAGTTTCCTGTCGTTTCCATGCCGAACGGCCTCGCTCGGATTTTACCAGCCTCTCTGCTGACACCTGTTCTCTGTCCCAGATGGTGGCTGTGTCGCCTTGGCCTGCCTCTTCCGTTCTGTTTCTCAACCTCGCCGTGGTTTTTTTCGGGATGTTTTGAGCACGGGCCGGTGGTTTTGCAGGGCAGCCCTCATTTGGGATTTGCCTAAGGTTTCCTCGTGATCAGGGCTGGACAGCCGTGGGCGTGGCGCTGTGGTCCTGCCCTTGCATGACGTCAGAGGGTCCGCGATGCTCAGAGGCCCAGGCCTGTTTAGCTCGGTTTTGGCTAACAGATCGCTTGGGGACATTACTCCAGACGAGTTCTCCCCAGGTGCTGGGCCACTCCTGTCAGCATCCTTCTGTGGATCTCGATCGGCATGGTACCTGCCCAGCGTGATTTTCCCGCCTCCTGACACCCACTTCCTGCCTCTCGGACGTCTTCCTGTTCCTCTTCACTTGGGCATTTCTTCTGTGGGTTATCTGCATCCTGGACTCATGGCTGCTTCTCTTATTCCATGGGTGAACGCCTAATGCTGTTCTGATTGATGGTCCCAGGCTTGGTCTCTTGGAATCCGGCAGACAGGCGTCTGTGTCCTTCTTCTTTGTTTCTTAAGGTTTCTTTATTTGAAAGGCAGAGTTACACAGAGAGAGAAGGAGAGACAGAGAGAGAGAGGTCTTCCATCCGCTGGTTCACTCCCCAATTGGCCGCAATGATCGGAGCTGTGCCAGTCCGAAGCCAGGAGCCAAGAGCTTCCTCCAGGTCTCCCACACAGGCACAGGGGCACAAGGACTTGGGCCATCTTCTACTGCTTTCCCAGGCCATAGCAGAGAGTTGGATCGGAAGTGGGGCAGCCAGGACTCAAACTGGCACCCATATGGGATGCTGGCACTGCAGGTGGCGGCTTTACCCACTGCACCACAGTGCCGGCTCCTGCTTCTGTGTTTTCTTTCTTTCTTTCTTTCTTTCTTTCTTTCTTTCTTTCTTTCTTTCTTTCTTTCTTTCTTTCTTTCTTTCTTTCTTTCTTTCTTTCTTTCTTTCTTTCTTTCTTTCCTTCCTTCTGACAGGCAGAGTTAGACAGTGAGAGAGAGACAGATAGAAAGGTCTTCCTTCTGTTGGTTCACCCACAAATGGCTGCTACGGCCGGCGCGCTGCACCAATCCGAAGCCGGGAGCCAGGTGCTTCTCCTGGTCTCCCATGGGGTGCAGGGCCCAAGGACCTGGGCCATCCTCCACTGCACTCCCGGGCCACAGCAGAGAGCTGGACTGGAAGAGGAGCAACCGGGACAGAATCCAGTGCCCCAATTGGGACTAGAACCCGGTGTGCCGGCGCTGCAGGCAGAGGATTAGCCTAGTGAGCCGCGGCGCCGGCCTCTGTGTTCTTTCAACCAACTCTTCCTGCCCCATGCTTGGAAGCTGCTCAGTGTGCCATCGATTGTAGGTGCTGCTGGGTGCCCTCGGCAGACAGAACTGGGCTGCACACAGGTGTATCCTAACACAGAGAGCCACACACGTGTATTTCTGTATGCGTTTCTCTGTATGGGCATTAAGTGCCACGGCACCATGCTGACTCCTCTGGTTCCTGTCTAACAGCAGAACCTTATCTGTAACTCCTTCCTCCAGTGTCCTCATTGGCTACAGTAGCATGTTGTCCCTTGGTGTCTGCTGTCTGCAGTGCACTGCTGGGGCCAGGACTTGTTTTGGATAAGAGAATCTGTGGATGCTCAAGCCCCTCATAGAAAGGGGTGCAGGGTTTAGCTTAGGTACTTCCTCTTGCATACTTTAAACAAAATGATTATTTATTTGAGAGTCAGAGAGAGAGAGAGAGAGAGGAAAGAGAGGGAGGGAGGGAAAGAGAGAGGGGAGGGGAGGGGAGGGGAGGGGAGGGGAGGGGAGGGTGGAGAGAGAGAGAGAGAGAGAGAATACTAAAGAGAAAGCCATCTCCCATCCACCAGTTCATTCCCCCACCTGCCCACAATGCTGGAGCCAGAGCCAGGGACTACATCTGGGCTCTCCAGGATAGAACGGGGGCATCTTAACTTCAAGGCTAAATGCGCATTCCCCTTCTGCACACTTTAAGTCATCTCCAAATTACTCCTGATACTTAATATGAGAGCACTTCAAAAAGCTTGTGGAAATTGGGGTGAAAGGTAAGTTTATTTTGGTGCAAAAAATTTTTTTTGAAATCCATGCTTATGGGCAGGGGAGTGTCTTCCATTTCCAATGGAAATGCATATTTTTAAAGGATTCATTCATTTGAAAAGCAGAGTTACAGAGAAAGAGGGAGAGACACAGAGAGAGATCTTCCATCCACTGATCACTCCCCGAATGGCCACAACAGCCAGGGCTGGGCCAGGCGGAAGCCAGGAGCCTGGAGCTCCATCTGGGTTTCCCACACGGGTAGCAGGGGCCCAAGCACTCAGGCCATCTCCTACTGCCTTCGAACATGCATTAGCAGGGAGCTGGATTGGAAGCGGAGCAGCTGGGATGCCAGCATTGCAGGTGGAGGTCCAACTTGCTGTGCCTGATTTCAAAAATTTGTGGAGGCACCAAAATAAATTCTATTCCATGTTTCCATGAAGTCCCCTTAATGCTGTCAATGCTGCACAGCCGAGGGCACCTAGGAGCACCTACAAGCCGTGTTCCTAGTACTGGGCTGTACAACGCTATGTACATAGTTGTAACACTGCTGTGTGCAGAGAGCAACAACACAGAAAGTCTGTGCCTTTAGCTTGAACTCTCCCTCGAGGACTCTGTGGACGCTAATTACTTTGTCTCCCATCCCTTCAGTGTGGTTGTGTTAACTATTGTGTAATGTCATTGCAGTTCCCCCACACCCTGGCTTTAATTGACTTTTTAAATTCATTTTATTTACTTGAATGTCAGAGGTACAGAGAGGGAGAGATTAGAGAGAAGAAGAGAGATCTTCCATCCACAGATTCACTCTCCAAATGGCCACAACAGCCAGGGCTGGGCTAGGCCGAGGCAAGGAGCCAGGAGCTTCCTCCAGGTCTCCCATATGGGTGCAGGGGCCCAAATACTTAGGCCATCCTCTGCTGCTTTGCCAGGTGCATTAGCCGGGAGCTGGATCAGAAGTGGAGCAGCCGGGACTTAAACAGGCACCCATATGGAATGCTGGTGTTGCAGCCAATGGCTGAACCCGCTGTGCCACAGTGTCGGCTGCCTTTATTTTTAATTCAGGGGTGTGTGAAGGGAATACAAACATGACTGTGGGGGCCAGCACTGTGGCACAGTAGGTTAAAGCTTTGGCCTACAGTGCTGGCATCCCATATGGGCACAGGTTCAAGTCCCAGCTGCTCCTCTTCCAATCCAGCTCTCTGCTGTGGCCTGGGAAAGCAGTAGAAGATGGCCCAAGTGCTTGGGCCCCTGAACCCACATGGGAGACCCAGAAGAAGCTCTTGGCTCCTGGCTTCAGACCAGCTCAGCTATGGCCATTGCGGCCATTTGGAGAGTGAACCAGCAGATGGAAGACCTTTCTCTCTTCTGGCTCTACCTCTCTCTGTAACTCTTTCAAATAAATAAAATAAATCTTTAAAAAAAAAATGACTGTGGATCTGGGAGTCAGGGCTGTGCAAGAGCAAGGAATCGAGGAGCGGCCGCTCCCTCCTCCTTCACCCCTGCTTCTCTGTCCCAAGCCTCCCGTCATTGTACCCATTTCTCAGCCACTCCCTCAAAGAAACCCATCACCTTGCTCCAGGAGTATCCTTCCAGGGAGCTCATGGAAAACGGAATTAAAATATAAGGTTATTTTGTAGCCAAAATTTTACAAAGTCATTCATGTTTTTTCATAATACACACTGTTTCCATGAAAATGTTGAAGGCCCCTTGTATATACAATTTTAAAAACTTTCAGCACCAATATTATAATTCCATTTTCCATGAACTTTTTAAAGTATTCTCATATTTCTTTTGTACAAATGAGCAGATATTAGCATAGTTTCTTTCTATTTTTTTTTTTTAAGATTTATCTATTCACTTGAAAGGCAGAGAGAGAGAGAGAGAGAGAGAGAGAGAATTCTATCTGCTGGTTCACTCCCCAAATGGCCGCAAAGACCAGAGCTGCACTGATCCGAAGCCAGGAGTCAGGAGCTTCCTCCGGGTCTCCCACACGGGTGCAGGGGCCCAAGCACTTGGGCCATCTTCCACTGCTTTCTCAGGCCATAGCAGAGAGCTGGATCGGGAGTGGAGCAGCCAGGACTTGAACCGGTGCCCATATGGGCTGCTGGCGCTTCAGGTGGTGGCTTTACCTGCCCTGCCACTGCGCCAGCCCCTCAGCATAGCTTATTCTGGCTCTTTACATTAACAGTAGCTGCCTATATGTGTCTGCACTTTTTTTTTTTTTTTTTTTGGTTTAACAGTCTCTTCTGGAAAGCATTTCATGGCACTTTGGAGAGCTTGTCCTCATTTTTTTTTTTTTTCATTCCATTGTGTGGATGTTATTTTGTCCCTGTCCTATATATGGGCACTTAGGTTGTTAACAATATTGATTTATATATTTTTGGTTTATTGCCCAAATGCCTGCAACAGGCAGCGCTGGGTCGAGCTGAAACCAGGAGCCAGGAACCATCTGGGTCTCCCATGTGGCTGGCAAGGACCCACGTCCTCGAGCCATGCCCGCTGCTTCCCTGGGTGGGCTTTAGCAGGAAGCTGGAATTGCAGGCAGAGAGGCTGGGACTAGAACCCGGCGCTGACATACCGATCCCCAGCGCTGCCTTAAACCTCTGTGCCAAGCGCCACCCCCGCTGGTGGGATTTTGCAGCTACAGCAGTGCTGCCAGGAATAACTAACTATATGCACGTGCCTTTTCGCATCACTGGAGGAAGAACTCAGCCCCTTAACGGTACACTACCCCATGTAGTATTTTTAAAGTCTGATTTGTTCAGAATTTGAACTATCACTTACAAGTCTCAATTTGCATTATCTGTCTATAGCATCGCGATCTCTTTAGGGGTATAAAAGCCACGGTGTAAAGATTCACTCCACAAGCGGAGAGATCTGGTGGCACTGGGCTGGCTCCCAAGTGGCAGCTATCCGCAGGGCTGTCCCTCTTGGGCAAGGCCCACACTTGTCACACTCCCTGCTGCCTTACGGCTGGGCCCGGCCTGCCTGTCTGCGTTGCCTAGTTGGCTTGCAGCCATCTGTGCTGGCGGCCCTTGCCCGGCAGCGCGTGCATGCGGGATTTGGCTGTAAATCCCAGTATTAACAGTAATAGCCGCTTACCCACAGAACCCTGACTATATTGGGCGCTGTTCCAAGTGCTTTACTTATAGTTATTCATGTAAGTCTCATAACAACTTTATCGGATATTTTATTATTCCATTTATAATTTTTAACGTCGTTATTTGAGAGGCAGAGAGAGAGAGTGCTCCCATCTCCTAGTTCACTCACCAAATGTCCATGTTAGATGGGGCGGAGCTGGGGCTTCAATCAGGTCTCCCACGTGGGAGGCAGGAGCCCAGCTCCTCCGGGCCTCAGCTCTGCTTCCCAGGGTCTGCATTAGCAGGAAGCTGGAGTCAGGAGCCAGAGGCTCTGCCACGCGGGAGGACCCAGGCATCTTAGCTTCCGTCTATAAGCGAAACAGCTCCTTCTATTATTCCATTTCACAGATAGGGAAAACTGAGCACGATGCGCGGGCTGCGGCGTGCCAGCCATTGGAGGGTGAACCAACGGCAAAGGAAGACCTTTCTCTCTGTCTCTCTCTCTCACTGTCCACTCTGCCTGTTAAAAACAAAACAAAAAACAAAACAAACAAACAAACAAAAAAAAACAAAAAAACAAAAAAAACCAGAAAGGTGAAATGACTTGCCCAAGGACAGCACGGTTGGGAAATGATGGAGTTGAGATTGAACCGGATCTGTGACCTTAACTACAGAATGTCCAAGCTGTGTTTCTCTCCCTCTCTCCCCCACCCCACGCTTGCTCGTGCGCCCCTCCCTCACCATCCAGGCCCCGCTGTTCCTGTCTCTGCAGGTGAGCCGGGCTCCATGACTGTCACCTGGACCACCTGGGTCCCCGCCGGCTCTGAAGTGCAGTTTGGGGTGCACGTGTCAGATCCCCTGCCCTTCCGGGCCCTGGGCACAGCCAGCGCCTTTGTGGACGGAGGCGCCCTGCGGCGAAAGCTCTATATCCACCGTGTCACGCTGCGGGGACTGCGGCCTGGCGTCCAGTACGGTGAGAGGGTCCCGGGCCTGGGGGGAGACCCCGGAGCGGGGGGTGGGACACAGAGGCCGCCGGGGTGCAGGGTGGAGCGCGCACCCCTCCGACCCTATCTCCAGCCCCGAGCCAAGGTTAAGGCTGCTGGGGCTGGTGCGGGAGGAGAGGCCCCGGGGCCCCCAGCTCCCGGCTGACTCTGCTCTTCCCGCAGTCTACCGTTGCGGCAGCGCCCAGGGCTGGAGCCGCCGGTTCCGCTTCAGGGCCCTGAAGAACGGACCCCACTGGAGCCCCCGGCTGGCCGTGTTCGGGGACCTGGGCGCCGACAACCCCAAGGCCCTGCCGCGCCTGCGCAGGGACACCCAGCAGGGCCTGTTCGATGCTGTCCTGCACGTGGGTGAGCCTCCCGCTAGGATGCGCCTGGACCGGGGAGGGGACAGGGGCTGCATGGCCGTGGCCGCGGGGCCGGGCTGGGGTTAACCTGACCGCTCCGGCACTTGCAGCTCTGAGCGCGGACTTCCTGTGTGTGTTTTTATTATTATTGTTATTATTAGAGGTAGGGCTGGCTCCGAGCTCACGGGGCTGTTGAACCTGCTACCTCCAGTAATATTGTTGTTATTTTTAAATATTTATTTATTTGAGTTACAGAGCGGGGTAGAGAGGTCTTCCATCTGCTGGTTCACTCCACAGATGGCCGCAATAGCCAGGGCTGGGCCAGGCTGAAACCGGGAGCTTCATCTGGGTTTCCCACATGGGTGGCAGGGCCATCTCCCACTGGATTGGAAGCAGAGCAGCCTGGACTCGAACCAGCACCTGTATGGGAGGCAGACGCACTGCCGGGCCCCGTGTCATCATTACTGCTGTTGCTGTTGCTGTGGGAGGGGGCAGGGAGCCAGGTGGGAGTTGGACAGGTAGAGCATGCCTGGTTCAAAGTGCAGGCTCTGGAACGGGCCTCCCTGGGTTTGGTTCCCTGGTCCTCACTAACCAGAACTGTGACCTCAGGCCTCAGTTTCCCCCTGCAAGGGGAGGATGGGAGAGTAGCCTCATTGGAGGGCACTTTGAAGAGTTGGGTGAGCATGCAGGCAAGGCGTCTGGAACAAACTCAGCGCCAGACCCCATCTGCGTGAACGCCATTGTCCTGTGATGCGGCTGTGATGTGGGAGTGGGGGCGTCTGGCCCTGCTGGATCCCAGGGGGTGTAGGCTTGCACAGGCCCGCAGTGAGGGGTGTGAGGTAGGGATCAGAAGCGCCTGGTGGCCTGGGGTGGGGGGCTGCACCGCCCACCCCCTCTCTCCCCTGTGGCAGCAGCAGAGCTGGGTCTGGTCCTCACTCTGCCGCCCCCCACCCCCAGGAGACTTTGCCTACAACATGGATGAGGACAACGCCCGCGTCGGGGACAGGTTCATGCGGCTCATTGAGCCCGTGGCCGCCAGCCTGCCCTACATGACGTGTCCCGGCAATCACGAGGAGCGCTAGTGAGGACCCGGGCCGGGCTGTGGGGTGCGGGGAGGGGCAAGGTGTGTCCCCCCTCCTGCGTCACCGCAGCCTCTGGTGTGAGGCAGCGGGGGGAGAGCTGGGGCTGGGCTGAGCCTGGGGAGGCGGGGTGGGACCCTCACCCCTGCCCCTCTCTGACCGCCTTGTCGCAGCAACTTCTCCAACTACAAGGCTCGCTTCAGCATGCCGGGGGACACGGAAGGCCTGTGGTACAGGTGATGTGGGGGCTGGTGCCGCGGGTGGGAGCGGCAGCGGAGACAGCCCCATCCCAGCTCTGAGCCCTGTCCCGTGCTCCCCCCACCCCCCACAGCTGGGACCTGGGCCCCGCCCACATCGTGTCTTTCTCCACCGAGGTGTATTTCTTTCGGCATTATGGCCGCCACCTGATAGAGAGGCAGTTCCGCTGGCTGGAGAGCGACCTCCAGGTAGGCGGGGTGGGGACCCCTGAAGCCCCTATGCCCGCCCCCCGTCCCCCCTCACTTGGGGCCTTTTTTTCAGAAAGCCAACAAGCAGCGGGCCACTCGGCCTTGGATCATCACCATGGGCCACCGGCCCATGTACTGTTCCAATGCTGATTTGGACGACTGCACCAGGCACGAGAGCAAGGTGAGGACCCCTCCCCCCCCGGGGGGCGTGGGCCTGGGAAAGGGGGGGGCGGCCCCAGTCACCCTTCAGCGCCCGGCTCCTCTCGCCCAGGTCCGTAGAGGCCACCATGGCAAGTTCGGCCTGGAGGATCTTTTCCACAAGCATGGTGAGTGACCCCGACACGACCCAGCCCCCTGCCCCGCCGCCCCCAGGTCAGGGCCCTGACGCCCACTTGCTCTGTCCCAGGGGTGGACCTGCAGCTGTGGGCTCACGAGCACTCCTACGAGCGGCTGTGGCCGATTTACAACTACCAGGTGAGGCAGGCCGCGAGGGGCTGGGGGGCGTGTGGTCGGCCCCCTGGGTGCGCCCGGGGTGACAGCAACCCACCTTGTCCCCTTCTGCAGGTGCTAAACGGCAGCCGAGAGGCGCCCTACACCAACCCTCGAGGCCCCGTCCACATCATCACGGGATCCGCGGTGAGCGCGCGGGGGGGCTGGGACGGGGTGGGGGGGGGCTCTGCCTGCGCGCCTCTGGCTGCTCGTTGTTTAAGAATTTTTCGCTGGTGCTGCGGCTCACTAGGCTAATCCTCCGCCTAGCGGTGCCAGCACACCGGGTTCTAGTCCCAGTCAGGGCGCCGGATTCTGTCCCGGTTGCCCCTCTTCCAGGCCAACTCTCTGCTGTGGCCAGGGAGTGCAGTGGAGGATGGCCCAAGTCCTTGGGCCCTGCACCCCATGGGAGACCAGGAGAAGCACCTGGCTCCTGCCATCGGATCAGCGTGGTACGCCGGCCACGGTGGCCATTGGAGGGTAAACCAACGGCAAAGGAAGACCTTTCTCTCTGTCTCTCTCTCTCACTGTCCACTCTGCCTGTAAAGAAAAAAATTCAAGTTTTTATTTCCTTATTTTGATTGTATCTGAAAGGCAGAGAGACAGACAGACAGACGGAAACAGGTTTTCCCCTCCAGTGGTTCACTCCCCAAATGCTCACAACAGCCAAGGCAGGCCCAGGCCAAAGCCGGGAGCCCAGCGCTCAGTCCGGGTCTGCCAAGTGAGTGGCAGAGGTTCAGGTTCTTGCGCCCCCAGGGCCTGCATCAGCAGTGCGGCCTGGACTCAGCCCCAGGCACTGGGGTGCAGGGTGCAGGGTGTGAGCCTGCCGATTGGTGACCCACCAGCTGTGCCCGGCGCCTGCCCTATCTCGCTGCTTGCTGAGGGCCAAGCTGGTAGCCTCCTGGGTGCCACAGCTTTATGTCGCGGCTGTCACTGACCCCTCAGCTCTCAGCTTAGGTACCGCCGGTAGCACAACCCATTGTACAGATGTGGAAACAGAGGCTCGGGAAGGAAAAGCACTTGCTCAAAGTCACAGGTTGAATAAGTGGCAGGGTTTGGGGGTTCCTCCAAGCTAATGTTGCTTTAGTGTTATTTTTTTTTAAATATTTATTTATTTTATTTGAAGGGCAGAGTTACAGAGAAGCAGAGGCAGAGAGAAAGGGTGAGAGAGAGAGAGGGGTCTTCCATCTGCTAGTTCACTCCCCAGATGGCCGCAATGCCCGGTTGTTATGCTGATTTGAAGTCAAGAGCCAGGAGCTTCTTCCGGGTCTCCACCAGGGTGCAGGGGCCCAAGGACTTGGGCCATCTTCTACTGCTTTCCCAGGCCACAGCAGAGAGCTGGATCGGAAGTGGAGCAGCTGGGTCTTGAACCGGCCCCCATATGGGATGCCAGCACTTCAGGCCAGGGTGTTAACCTGCTGTGCCACAGTGCCAGCCCCTTTAGTGTTATTTTTTAAAAAGATACTGATTTATTTATTTGAAAAGCAGAGTTTACAGAGAGAGAGAGAGAAATCATCCATCTGCTGGTTCACTCCCCAAATGTCTACAACAGCCAGGACTGGGCTGATCTAAAGCCGGGAGCCAGGAGCTTCTTCCAGGTCTCCCATGTGGGTGCAGGGGCCTGAGGACTTGGGCCATCTTCTGCTGCTTTCCCAGGCCATTAGCAGAGAGCTGGATCAGAAGTGGAGCAGCCAGGACTTGAACTGGTGCCCATGTGGGATGCTGGCACTGCAGGTGGAGACTTAACCTTTTACACCATAGCGCCGGCCCCGGTAGTGTTATTTTTAAAACAACTTTTTATTTGATTTGAAAGGTAGAGAGAACAGAGGCAGAGACAGGCAGAGAGAGAGAGAGAGAGAGAGAGAGAGAGAGACCTTCCATCTGCTGCTTCATTCTCCAGATGCCTACGACAGCCAGGCCTGGGCCGGGCTGAAGCCCAGAGCTTGGAACTCCATCCAGGTCTGCCACATGGGTGGCAGGGACCCAAGTACTTGAGCCGTAGTCGGCTGCCCACCAAGGGTGTGTGTTAGCAGGAAGCAGGGGCGGAGGCCGAGGCAGGGCTCGAACCCAGGCACTTCGACATGGGATGCAGGTGTCCCACTGGGCATCTTCGCTGCTTGTCAAACACCCACTCCTCCAATGTTCTTCTTAATGAGAAAGTGTCTTGGGGCGGCACTTTTAGGCCGCAGAAATCTCCTGTTTCTCCCCCACAAGCCCATGGCGGCTCTGGCCCCCAAAGATGACCCCTGTGACCTAACGGGGATTGCTCATTTGCCTCCTCCTTCCAGGCTGAGGCCCTGGGATCCTCCTGGGAGGAAGACGCATTCCTTCTGCCCCATTGATTTTAGTGGGTTAATTATTTATTTATGCCAGGATGGACTCACGGGCAATTTATTTTCTTCTGTGGGTTACAATCCAATACCACCGTGATTTATGTTGATGCCTGAAGCGCTCCCCCGTTGGCTGCTGTCCCCTGCCCATGGTCCCCACCATTCGCTGGGTGCTCTGCAAGGCGCCAGCAGCTGCCCCGCCTTGCCGTCGGGGAGAGCAGGCTTAGGTTTTAAGCGTGAGTCCCGCGTCTGATTCCAGTTCACTCGGCAGAGGGCAGGCAGTGAAGGGTGATCGCCCACGCCCCCTGCCCCCTCTGCCTCTCGTCTGTCTCCTGAGTGGCATTTGGAAGCCTTCTGAGCTGGTACAGACGAGGAATTGTCTAGAGAGAGAGAGATGTCACTGTGTCACCCACTTTTTACAGAATGATTCACAACCTTGACACAACTCGGAAAAACCTGGGGAGCTTGGGCGGGACCCCATGTGGGTGGTGGCACCCCCTCTCTGGAGCAGGAAATGAAGCCCCATCAGCCCTAGGTGGCTCCTTCCCTCCTTCCTGGTCTCCGCCCGCTGGTGCCCGCCAGTCTGACCTTGATCAGCACTGATTTTTTAAAAGATTATTTATTTGAGAGGCAGAATTACAGACAGAGAGGGAGAGACAGAGAGACCTTCCATCCACTGGTTCACTCTCCAAACGGCTGCAATGGCTGGAGCCAGGCCAGGCTGAAGCCAGGAGCCAGGAGCCAGGAGCTTCATCTGGGTCTTCCACTCGGGTGCAGGGGCCCAAGCACGTGGGCCATCTTCTGCTACTTTCCCAGGTGCATGAGCAGGGAGCTGGATTGGAAGTGGCACAGCTGGGACTGGAACCCCTGGTGTCCATATGGGATGCCGGTGGTGCAGGCAGAGGCTTTACCCACTGCGCCACAACGCCGGTCCCTTGGCTTTTAATTTCATTGTAAATTCCGAAATTTATTTCCAACATACAGAAACCTTGCAGGTGGCTCGCACCCAAGTGCCCCGATGTGGCCATTTTTTTTTTCAGATTATTTTCGGGTCCAGTCAAACGCAGGTGGCAGGCAGGATGCCCTCTGACCCACACCTCTGTATTTCCTAAAAACACCCACAATGCCGTTCTCTCTGTCACTGCCGCATTGCTGTCCAGTCCAAGAGGAGTCATCTCAGTACAGACCGCTTTCAAGTGTAGCCAGTTGTCCCACGAGTGTCCTTACATCAAAGCAAGCATCACCGCACCCACCCCTTCTTCCAGGCCTGGGTCTCGTCCCTCCAGCTTCCTTTACACTTTCTGTGGACCGCGATGATCTGGCGGGAAGCCGCCAGCTGGCTTCGTGGATCACCTGTGGGTCTGGGCGTGTCGGGTGGGCAGGTGGAGACTGTGCGTTTGCGGTTAGAATGCAGCAAAGCCGGGCCACCTCCTCTGGTGCACCTGCTGGGACGGCTCCAGGCCCCAGTTTCCCAGCTGAGAGAGGGGTGAGGCCCTGCCCGTCTGCCTCATCACTGTTAAGGTTAAAGTCATACTTCTCCTGTGTGTAGTTAGCAGGTGTCTGCTGCAGGGACGTCTAGGGACGATGCCAATGTCCTCAGACCCCTTCTCCCACCCGCTGAGGATTCTGGCCCGTGCTGGGTGTCACAGGGTCACCCTTGGTTCTCATCCCCGGCTTTGCCCCACATTGGTGGGCATGGGTGTGTTAGAGAGCCTTCCGGGGTGGGGGCTCCCCGTGCAGCCAGGCCTGAAGCCCATTGAGTTCTGCTGTCTTCCAATGGCTTTCTCTCCCACCCCGACACACCAGGCCATCGTCCTGCACCACCCCGCCTTGTGCTGGCCGAGCTCTGACGTACGCCATGGACTTTGCCTGGCGAGTGTCGGCTTTTATGGACGATGCTGCCGTGGACAGACGGGCACGGGGTTGGGGCAAGGAAGGCCCAGCTCAGGGGCTGCAGCTTGGCGGGGGTGGCAGGGTCCTGCCTGGCCGGTCACTGCTGCTACTCGCACGTCTGCCACGGTCTGAGCAGCTTCGCTTCCCTTTCAGGGCTGCGAGGAGCGCCTCACCCCGTTTGTCATCCACCCCCGGCCCTGGAGCGCTGTGCGCGTAAAGGAATATGGGTACACGCGGCTGCACATCCTCAACGGGACCCACGTCCGCCTTCAGCAGGTGTCTGATGACCAGGTCAGTGCGGGGGGGCCCGAGACACCTGGCCGAACAGCCAGGCCTGGTGTGTACTGCAGCTGGGAACCCTGGGTTCAAGTCCTCCCCCTGCTGCTGACCGGCTAAGATGACCTCAAGCAAAGGAGATGAACTGTTTGAGCCTTGGCTTGCCCATTTGTGAAATGGGGATGATGAGGGGTGATTATATTCCAAGTACTTAGGACAGTGTGTAGGAGCCTTGGCAAGCTCCACAGGGGAAGGGGAAGGCTGGTGGGGGAAGCAGGTAGAGGAAAAACAGTATGGCGTGTGTGTGTGTGTGTGTGTGTGTGTGTGTGTGAGATAAGGGTGGCCTAAGGTTAGGTGGACCCAAATAATGGCTCATCTTCACTTTTGCCAGCATCATTTCATTTTTTTTATTTAAAGGTTTATTTATTTGAGAGGCAGAGTTACAGAGAGAGAGATCTTCCATCCGCTGGTTCACTCCCCAAATGGCCCCCAACTGCCAAAGCCAGGAGTTCCTTCCAGCTCTCCCCCATGGGTGCAGGAGTCAAAGCGCTTGGGCCATCTTCCACTGCTCTCCCAGGGCATTAGCAGAGAGCTGGATTGGAAGTGGAACAGCCAGGACTTGAACCAGCGTCCATATGGGATGTGGGTGCTACAGGCAGAGGCTTAACCCACCACGCCACTGCACCGGCCCTGCCACCATCATTTTAAAATGACAGTAATCATGGTCACAGGGCACCTGCTGTATACCAGGCACCAGGCGAGGGGCTCTGTCCTCAGTATCACTTTCAGCCCCACAACAATCCCATATGGGCAAGGTTTATTTTATTTTTTTTCCAGTTTACAGAAGGAACCGAGGCTCAGAGAGGGCAAGGAGTTTTCCCGGAGTCACCCAGCTGCAGGACAGCAGGGCTGGGCTCTGACCCCAAATAAGCTATTTTCGGTGCAAATGACTCGCATTCACTGAGCAGCACGGGCAGCAGGCGACAGCGCCTTGGGTCTCACGGTGCCCCAGCCTGGGCTGCTCTGTGTTTGCACCGTCCTGTAGGATTCGGAGTGAGACGATGCCGTGGGCTCCTCAGGAGGCCCCAGGAGATGCCCGTTACGAAAAACCTTTGCATGAACCTAAATATTTTTCCTTGCACCCCAATCAGCATGCCTTAATGCTGTATTCCATGGCCTTTTCGAAGTCTCTGTCCACGGCCCTGGCCGTGTGTGGAGCCCTCCTGGGTGCCCCCTGCAAACGCTCTCTCTGCGAGGGCCCCTCCTCGCTCTGCATCTATGAGGGGTCCGGCCATGCCCTGCCGGCTTCGGTGCGGCGTCCGGCCTCAGCCCCTCTCTCCTCCCGGCCTCTGCAGGACGGCAAGATCGTGGACGACGTGTGGATAGTGAGGCCGCTGCTCGGCCGCAGGATGTACCTCTAGCGACCGGGACCGCGCTCGCCAGGAGCCCTTTGCCTTGACGCCTGGCCCGGCGCCGCAGGACACTGCCCGGGCCTGGGGCGGCGGAGTGCGGGTGGTCCCGGCCCCGGCGCCCGCAGCCGGTGGGCGGGAGCCGGCGCAGCCCTGCACCCACGGCGGAGCCTGGACCGCGCGAGCCGCCCGCGAGCCTCGGAATAAAGCGGCTTCCTGCTGAGGCTCAGTAGACTCGCGCTTCTGCCGGGGAAGCCCCCCGGGGTCGCCTACGCCGGTGCCCAGCGGGCCAGGGCTCCGCCTCCCGCGAAGTCAACCGGTGGGGCACAGCCGTCGGGACTCCGCTCACCGGCAGGGGGCGCCCGCGGCCTTTGCGCCTGATCCCGGCCCTGGGCCACCCTGGATCCTGCTTCGTGGAGGGAGGAGTGCGTCCCAGGGCTCCCTGGTGCCTCAGTTTCCCCGGGAGTGCTCTGGCGACCCCGCGAGGCCGCCACCGCCAAGCCTTGGAGTTCACGGGCCTGCCTCTTCCTCCCTCCTCCCTTTCCCTCTTCCTTTCGTGTATCTGGCTGTGATGCAGCCTGGTGAGCATCTGCTCCGTGCCAGGCATTGTTAGTGCTGGGGACTCCGGCAGGAGCAGGACAGACAGCCCTGTCCTGGTGGGCAGCAGCTGGACACATAAGTAGGCTGAAGAGAGGGGGCACGCTGGGACAGGACAGGGAAGGGGGGTGGGGGGGTTGTGATTTTCAGGAGGTCAGGGAGACCTCACTGAGCGGGTGGAGAGTGGTCCGAAGGAAGGGAGGGAGGATCCAGGTGGGCAGGTGCCTGGAGGAAGAGGAACAGCCAGTGCAAAGGTCCTGGGGGGCCGGCGCTGTGGCTCACTTGGCTAATCCTCCGCCTGCAGCGCCGGGTTCTAGTCCCAGTTGCTCCTCTTCCAGGCCAGCTCTCTGCTGTGGCCCAGGAAGGCAGTGGAGGATGGCCCAAGTGCTTGGGCCCTGCACCCCATGGGAGACCAGGAGGAAGCTCCTGGCTTCGGATGGGTGCAGCGCGCCGGCCATGCCAGCCATTTTGGGGGTGAACCAACAGAAGGAAGACCTTTCTCTCTGTCTCTCTCTCTCACTGGCTAACTCTGTCAAGTAAATAAATAAATAAACTACAGGTCAGAAAAGGCTATTAAAAAAAAAAAGGTCCTGGGGCCTCTGTTGGAGGCCTGTGTAGCTGGGGGGGGGGGAGGGAGGTGCTCTGGCACCGGGCAGCCCCCTGGGACTGAGTGGTGCCATGGGAGAGCCCAGGGCCACACCCAGCACTGCCTAGCACAAGGCGATGTCTTTAACACCTACCCCTCACCTTAACGAAGGCCACCACATGCCAGGCTCTGGCCAGGCTGCGTGGGGGACAGCAGCGAACCAGTCCTGGCCATGTCCCCTTAGGGTTCAGAGGCAGGCCCAGGTGATCAGCTGCAAGAGTGGCAGGGAGGGACGGTCCAGCTCTGTGAAGTCTCAGCCGGACGGTCATGGCACACTGCGACCAAAGACTGAACCAGTGCCTGGTGTGGGCCCGGCACGCCCTCTCCAGGGCTGGGTGAGACTGCAGGAGGGGGCTCCCCAGAGGGTCCAGGCCAGAAACTGGGTTCAGATCCCAGCCCTGCCACTTCCTGTGTGGCCGTCGGAAGCTCCGCTCACTCTCACGTCAGAAGGCTGGCACCCCGTGGGCTTGCGCTGGGATTAAACAGTGTTGACAGCCTCCGTGTTGTCCTGGCTCCTCCTTTTCTCCTGCCCCACCCCCAGTGAGCTAGAAAATTCTGTTAGGTTTGCCTTTAAGATCTGGCCTCTCTCCACTCTGCACCTGCCACGCCCCCACCCCTGTGCTGTCCACACGCGCTTCTGCTCCCTCCCTGCGCACCGCACAGTCTGTTCCCCCCGCGGGTCGCACGCTTGCCCTGCGCAGAGCCCTCCTGGAAGAGGCGAGCCCTCCCCGTGGCACCCCAGGACCCCATCATTTCGGCCCCCATTGGCCGCTCGCTCGCTCTGCTCTGGCCACACCCGCCCCTCTTTGCTGCCGCTGTTCCCTCTGCCTGGGACACTGTTCCCTGACGTCTCTGCAGGCCCTAGTGCCGAGATCTCTGTCCACTTGGTAAACAGCCCTGCCTCCCCCCATTCTTCCTCCGAACACTTAGATCCTGTGACGAAGTCCAGACCCGTGTTCCCACAGAACCTGAGCTGCAGGAGCTGCGGTTTTCACCACCTGGGATGCCAGCATCCCTTATCCAAGCGCCTGAGCCATGTCCCTGCCCCTCGGCTTCCCACCCGGCTTCCTGCTGATGCTCCCCTGGGAGGCAGCTCAAGGACTTGGGCCCCTGCCACCGACATGGGAGACGTGGACTGAGCTCTGGGCTCCTGGCTTCTGCTTGGCAGCCATTGTGGCCATTTGGGGAATGAACCAGCAGTTGGAAGAGTCTTTCTCTCTCTCTCTCTCTCTCCCCCCTCTCCTCTCTGCAACTGCCTTTCAAATAATAAGACATAGTTTTAAAAATAAAAAAGTAGAAAGTGTGAGTCCCTAGGTCCCGAGGGCTTTTGCTGGTTTTATTCGCCGTCTGTCCCCAGTCACCGGCACACAGCAGGTGCTCCTCTGCGGCGATGACTGGATGATGGGACAATGAGAGCTCCAGGGAGAGCGGAGAGCTCAGCGCAGAAGCTGGCACTGAGGGAGCACGTGAGAGCGACGCGGAATGACAGCGATGCAGGTGATTCAGATAAAGGCGGGAGACAGGCACGCCCGGCAGGTTGGGACACAGCGTGACGCGCTCCGGGAGTTACAGGTTGCTGAGCTGAGCAGGGCGGCGGAGGCAAAGGCGAGGGCAGCATCCTGGACCCGACAGGGTCTGCAGCCCGGTCCTCTTCTCCGCAGGGCGCACGTGGGTGTCTGCCACCTCGCTGTCGTGTACCTCTCCCATTTTGTAAAAAATAAAGCTTGATTTGGGAGAATAGTTTTAGGTTTATAGAAAAATTGTGAAGATAGTAGAGATTCTGTACACTGCATACAAAGCTTCACCTGTTATCAAAATCATAACTATGCCATGTCTGTTCTAATGAATGCACTAACTTTGATATAAAAGTCATAGTTGGGGCCGGCGCTGTGGCATGGTGGGTGAAGCCACTGTCTGCAGTGCCGGCATCCTGTGTGGGCACTGGTTCAGGTCCCGGCTGCTCTACTTCCAATCCAACTCTGCTATGGCCTGGGGAAGCAGTGGAGGATGGCCAGGGCCCCTGCTCCCATGTGGGAGCTCCGGGAGAGGCTCCTGGCTCCTGGCTTCGGATCTGCTCAGCTCTGGCCGCTGTGGCCAACTGGGGAATGGATCAGTGGATGGAAGACCTCTCTCTCTCTCTCTCTCTGCCTCTCTCTCTCTCTCTCTGTGACTCTTTCAAATACATACATTTTTAAAAAGCCATAGTTTTATTATACTATGCTTTATAGATCTTTATATATAACTATTGGGAGATAATTTGAAATAACTAACTGCACCCTTTTAAAGTATACGCTTTGATGAGGGTTTTCAAAATATTTATTTATTTATTAGAAAAATAGAGTTGGGGCCAGCGCTGTGGTGTAGTGGGTAAAGCCACTGCCTGCAGTGCCGGCATCCCATATGGGCACCAGTTCAAGTTCCAGCTGCTCCACTTCTGACCCAGCTCTCTGCTGTGGCCTGGGAAAGCAGTAGAAGATGGCCCAAGTCCTTGGGCCCCTGCACCCACGTAGGAGACCTGGAAGAAGCTCCTGGCTCCTGGCTCCAGATCAGCACAGCTCTGGCTATTGCAACCAATTGGGGAGTGAACCAGCGGATGGAAGACCTCTCTCTCTCTCTCTCTCTCTCCCCCTCTCTGTAACTCTTCCTTTCAAATAAATAAATCTTTAAAAAAGAAAGAGAGAAATGCAGAGTTACAGAGAGAGAGAGGGAGAGACACAGAGAGAAATCTTCCAGCTGCTGGCTCACTCCCCAGACGGCTCCAACTGCTGGGGCTGGGCCAGGTCAAAGCCTGGAGCCAGGAGCTCAGTCCAGGTCACCACGTGAGCTCCCAGGAGGCTGGACTGAAGCCCGGGCACTCCAACATGGGATGCAGGTATCCCCCGCCGCTCCGCCAAATGCCTGGCCCTCTCCTTGTGTATACACCCACGGAGTCCCCGCCACCACCAAGAAACTGGCCGTCACTCCGCCAGCTGCCCCCAGTCCCATGCAGTTCATCCTCCCTGGGTCCCCCAGCACCCACTCCTGTGGGTCAAACTCACCTTCCCCAGGTTGCAACGAACGCAGCCACACCGCGCGCACACCACGTGCAGGCGAGGGAGGCGGGTTCTTGCCCCCATCCTAACGCACCTGCCACTCACCCAAGTTGTGGTGCCGCCCAGGAACCCCTTCCAGGTTAATGCTGGGCAGTGGTTCCCAGAAGGGGGCCCCACTATGTGTTCAGCCGCTCGCCGCAGGTGGATATTGGGCCATGATGAACACTGCTATGAACAAGCATTCTTGTGCAAGCCATTGTGTGACTATTGGTTTTCATTTCTTTTTAGATTTATTTATTTGGAAGGCAGAGAGAGAGAGAGAGAGAGAGAGCAAAAGAGAGTGAGAGAGAGAGATCAGTCTTCCACCTGCTGGTTCACTGTCCAAATAGCTACAACAGCCACTGCTGGGCCAGGCTGAAGCCAGGAGCCTGGCGCTCCATCCGGGTCTCCCAGGTGGGCGGAGGGGTCCAGGTACTTGGGGCATCTTCTGCTGCTTTCCCAGGCCATTAGCAGGGAGCTGGATTGACAGTGAAGCAGCCAGAACTAGAACAGACACCATATGGGATGCTGGCATTCCGAGTGGTGGGTTAACCCACGGTGCCACGACGCCGGTCCCCGAGCTGCCGTTCCTCTCGAGTGAGTCCCTGGGCCTGGGGTAACTGGGTCCTCTGTCTTCCGCAATCTTTTTACTGTTGCTTGCAGGTCCCGCGATGTGGGGTTTTTCTTTCTAGTTCTGCTCATCACCTGCGTTACGGTGTTGACGTTCCTGTGCCACAGTTTGCATGGTTGTAGGAGGTCTGTGGCACCAGTGCGCAGAGTCGTCGTAAGGATCCCATGAGGCCACACCCGGTGCCCAGCGCGGGGCCTGCTGGCACCTTGCCTGCGGTTATCATTCAGCAGGCTTCTGCGCAGGCGCCACTCAGGGGCAAATATATTTCTTGGGTGAATCTGGACAGGTTTTAAGAAACCAGTTTTCTCAGCCACCTCCGTGGTTAAAACCCCAGCAGAAGGGCTGGCGCTGTGACACAGAGGATTAAGCTCTTTGCAGTGCCAGCATCCCATACGGGCACCAGTTCGAGTCTCGGCTGCTGCACTTCTGATCCAGCTCTCTGCTATGGCCTGGAAAAGCAGTAGAAGATGGCCCAAGTCCTGGGACCCCTGCACCCGTGTGGGAGATCTAGATGAAGCTCCTGGCTCCTGACTTTGGCCTGGTCCAGCCCTGGCTGTTGCAGTCATTAAGGGAGTGAACCAGAGATGGAAGACCTCTCTCTCTGTCTCTCTCCACCTCTGCCTCTCTGTAACTCTGCCTTTCAAATAATAAACAAATAAATCTTCAAAAAAAAAAAAAAAAAAAGACTATCCAAGACCACAGCCTACAAGTGAGATTCACAGTGGCTTTTTCTTGTATTCTCTTTATTTGTTTGTTTGTTTATTTATTTATTTATTTATTTTTAATTTTTTTTGGCAGGCAGAGTGGACAGTGAGAGAGAGAGACAGAGAGAAAGGTCTTCCTTTGCCGTTGGTTCACCCTCCAATGGCCGCCACGGCTGGCGCGCTGTGGCCGGCGCACCGCACTGATCCGATGGCAGGAGCCAAGTGCTTCTCCTGGTCTCCCATGGGGTGCAGGGCCCAAGGACTTGGGCCATCCTCCACTGCACTCCCTTGCCACAGCAGAGAGCTGGCCTGGAAGAGGGGCAACCAGGACAGAATCCGGCGCCCCGACCAGGACTAGAACCCGGTGTGCTGGTGCCGCAAGGTGGAGGATTAGCCTAGTGAGCCACAGCACCAGCCTCTTTATTTATTTATTTAATTTTACAGAGTGAGAAGAGAGAAAGGGAGATCTTCCATCCACTGGTTTACTCCCCTGGCCACAACAGAGTCAGTAGCTTCTTCTGTGTCTCTCATATGGGTGCAGAGGCCCAAGCACTTGGGCCATCTTCTGATGTTTTCCCAGGTGCATTAGCAGGAAGCTGGATTGGAAATGGAGCAACTGGGACTCGAACTGGCACTTACGTGGGGCGCTGGCACTGCAGGTGGAGGTTTAATCTTACACCACAGCACTGGCCCTTCTGGCACTCTCATCAGCACTGCTAATAATACTTTAAAGATACATTTGAGAGATCAAAAAGCTGTTTAATATTCATGTTAATATTAATTATCATTAATTCTTTTTATTGTTTGTATTTTTTGTTTTGCTCATATCTTTTGCTTATTTTTCTGTTGTATATTTATTTTTCCTTTCTTATTGACTTCAAAATGCTCTTTACATAGGAAAGATAGAAGGCATAACTTGTGATTCACAAATTGCAATTTGGCTTTTTCCTGGATGTATTGGAAGTCATCATTCGTATGGGACGGATGCACTGCCAGCCTTCCACTCCAGAGTGCTGTTTGAGTCCCAGTTGCTCTGCTTCCAATCAAGTGACCTGAAAATGCGCCTGGAAAAGCAGCGGGAAGGGGCCCGGGTGCTCTGGATGCCCCCTGCCACCACCTGGGAGACCTGGGTGGAGCTCCATGCTCCTGGCCTTGGCCTGGCCCAGTCCTGGCAACAGCAATGGCTTGTGTGGTTGTGGCCATCTGGGGAGTGAACCAGCAGATGGAATCTCTCTCTCTGTCTCTCTCTCTCCCCCCTGCCACTCTGCCTTTCAAATACATAAAGATAAATCTTTTTTAAAAAAAGAAAAAAGTAATTTTTATGAGACCCAATCTCCCTTGCTGTCCTTGCATGCCCCCGCCCCGAGGGTCACCTCCTCACCCCCTCTTCGAGGGAGCCCCGTGTAGGATGCTCTCTCAGGACAACTTTCCTCTCCTGATCCCCGAGCAAGCCTGTGGGGCAGGTGCATCCCTGGGATTGCCCCCAGGGCTCTCCCCTCCTCCCCAACTGACAAAGGCACCTTCCCAGCCACACGGTCTAGAATTTTGAGCAGGGCAGGGTAGAGATGTTTGGTGCCATGGTTGAGACGCCGCTTGGGTCTTCCGCACCCCATGTCACAGTGCTGGGTCTGAGTCCCGACTCTGCCCCCAATTCCTACTTCCTTAATGCAGACCCTGGGAGGCTGCAGAGGATAGTCCAAGCAGTGCGGTGCGGCGGATCCGGACTGAGTTCCTGGCTCCCGGCTTGGCCTGGCTGTTGGAAATGAAGCAGGAGATGGAGGATCTCTGTCTCTCCCTGTCTGCTTTTCAAATAAAAAAGTAATAATAAATTTTTAAAAAGGCAAAGACTGCACCTGGTGCCCCTCCAATCACTGTGGCAGGAGTAAGATAGATACTGTTGCCTCGGCTCCTAGCCTTGTTTTGTTTAAAATGGAGATTCTGCACGGCACTGAGATTTCAAAACAGCGCAGTAAACCAGAGAATTAACGCCGGGGAGACTGCAGTCCAGAGCGCGCTCTCTGCACGTTGGTGGCCGTGAACTGGACGCAGTGCGCGTCGCAGGCCGTGAGGGGGCAGCAGAGCGCAGTCAGCGCGCGCAGTGCCCGGGTCCAGTGGCCAAGCCGGGTGCGCGCGGTCTGCGTCAAGCGCCGGGCGAGCGCAGGTGCTAGTCGGAGACCCCGTGTCCTCCTCTGCGGGGACGGACAGTTGTGACCCCTATCGTCCGTGCCACAAGGCTCGGCACGGCTTAGCCTCATGATGCGTAGAAATCCTCGAATCGTGGGGACCCTAAGTCCTAAAAATCCGCATCTCCAAGCCAGCAGTTCCATCTCGGCTCATCGACTCAAAGAAAATAACTCACAATGTGAACGAATATCCAGCTACTTGGGCCTTTGTAGAGCGGTGGTGGGAAATATTTTATAACAGCAAAGTAGCTGTTACAGCGGAGATATTGAACATGAAAGAGTGGCTAAGAAGTTACAGGTGGTCGGCAGGGTGGGCTCCCAGCTGGTCACTGGGGGTAGCCTCAGGTTAGGCCTTGCAGCTCAGCGGGGTAGGCGGCTGCCTGGGACACTGCATCCGACTCCAAACCCAGCATCCCCCTGCTTCCCATCCAGCTCCCTGCTGCGGCAAACTGGGAGGCAGCAGAAGATGGCCCGGGTGCCAGGGCCCCTGCAAAACGCGAGGTGCAGATGCTGTTCCAGGCTCCTGACTTCAGCCCAGCTCGGCTCTGCCACGTGCATTTGGGGAATGAACCAACAGGTGTCTCTGTGTCTCTTTCTGTTGCTCTGCTTTTCAAGGAGATACGAATAAATAAAAACATTTTAAAAAATCTTCTTATATGGAAGAATACTAATGATATTTATAATATTGTGGGTTTTTTAAAGAGATTCATCTATTTGAAAGTCACAGTTACAGAGAGAGAAAGGGAGAGACAGAGAAAGCTTCCATCCACTGGTTTACTTCCTAGATATGGCCACAATGGCCAGGGGTGGACCAGAGAGGAGAGACCGGGGAGAGAGAGAGGCCTTCCACCCGCTGGTTCACTCCCTAGATGGCCGCAATGTACAGAGCTGGGCTGATCCAAGGCCAGAGCCAGGAGCTTCTTCCCAGTCTCCCATTGGGTGCAGGGACCCAAGGACTTGGACCGTCTTCCACTGTTTTCCCAGGTCATCAGCAGGGAGCTGGATCAGAAGTGGAGCAGGGGCCGGCGCTGTGGCGTATCTGGTAAAGCTGCCACCTGCAGTGCCGGCATCCCATATAGGCGCCGGTTCTAGCCCCGGCTGCTCCACTTCCAATCCAGCTCTCTGCTATGGCCTGGGAAAGCAGCAGAAGATGGCCCAAGTCCTTGGGTCCCTGCACCCACGTGGGAGACCCAGAAGAAGCTCCTGGCTCCTGGCTTCGAATCAGCTCAGCTCCAGCTGTTGTGGCCAACTGGAGAGTGAACAAGTGGATGGAAGACCTCTCTCTCTCTCTCTCTCTCTCTGCCTCTCTGTAACTCTGCCTTTCAAATAAATAAATAAAAAATTAAGATCAGGGTCTCGGGCTCAGGCGGACTGACATTCAAAACTTACTATGTATTTCCTGTGGCCCTAGTTCAGTCAACGCAAGCACAGCACAAAGCCGGCTGCCTGACACACAGTGAGCGATTAGAGGCTGTTTGGGCCGTTATGAAGCCATTGCTGTCTTACGCTCCGAAATTCGTTTTGGGGAAAGCTGGGACTCTGTTACAAGTCCTGTCCCTTTAAGAACCTGCGCTGGCCGGGATCCAGCCCACCGCACCTTTTCCAAATTTTCCAATCCCCACTTGGCATTTTCGTTCGGACGGCTCCTGATTGGACAATCTGCACCAATCAGAGGCTGGAGTGGGCGCTACCAGCAGCTCAGCTCCGCCCCTGGACAAGCCCGGCCCACTGCCCGGTCAGCGCCGTTGCTATGGGGACAGGTGGGCGGCGAAGGGGGAAAGCCCCGGATGTTCGTTGAAGATTCAACATGGCGGCGGCAGTGGCCGCGGTGGCGGCGGCGCAAGAGAGCTGAAGGAGGCGCGAGGGCGCGGAGTTCTGAGCTGAGCAGCTAGGCCGCGAGCGACTGCGGCGCCGAACCGGTACAAGCGGGCGATCAGGCTAAGGGTTTGTGGCGGACCGGGCGCTGGCGGTGGGACGCGTTTACGCGGGGAGGGGGCGGGGCCGCTGGGGTCAAAGTTCACCCGTGGAGGGAAGGGTCTCGTCGGAGGGGTCGAGGGTCAACGCCGGTGGGAGGGAGGTGGAGAGGATATGGGAGGTCGAAGTGGCCGAGGGGGCGTGGCAAAGAGGAGGACAAAGTTTGAAATTTGAAGTGGGGGCGCGTTCGAAGGGGTGGGGCGAGTCTCGAAAATGGGGGCGGGGGTCTGAGGTAATTTGAGGGGAAGTTGTGCCTACGGGGGTCTGAGGTGACAGCCTCGAGGGTGCGGGGGTGGGGGCGGCGTCGGAGGTTTAAGGCCGCCACCGGCCAGGCAGATGAATGGCTTTTAGGTAGGGGGGCGTCCTTCAGCGGACCGAAGGCTGGGCGTGGCCAGAGGGTGCAAGGTCAAGGTGCGAGCGCCCAGATGTCGGGAAAAGTCAAAAGTTAAAGCTAAGGGGGGCGTCCGGGAGAGAGGTCAGAGGAGGCTCCAGGTGGTGGGAAGAAGCGCCCCCTCCCACCAAGAGCAGCCATCGGGCACTCAGAGAAAGCACCTGCTGGGGGCCGGCCCCTCTTCCCTCTGCTCTACCGCCTTGTGGGGTCTTCGCCCGTTATTAGGAGGGTGGGAGGTCTGCCCGGGGGCCCTGGGATTCCAACTCTGTGGCCCAGAGCCTGTGAGCGAGTCTCTGCCGTGTGGGTTAATGGTTAACGAGAGCCCGGGGCGCCCAGGACTGGGTTCATCCTCACCACAGTCTTGCCCAGTGAGTGCCAGGGACAGACCCACTTGACAGAGAGGGAAAACGAGGCCCAGAAGTCTGCCAAGGCAGAGAGCAGGTTTGAAGCCGGGCGCTGGATGATTGCGGGGGGCTTGCCCCCAGCTGCCGCCCTGTCCACTGTCTGAAGTCTCTTCCTGGAGGCAGGGGCTGGGCCGGGCTGGCCACTCCCTGGGCAGGAACAGGCTGCCCGCCTGGCCTCTTTGGAAGGGTGTGATCTGGGAGGGGGGATTGCTGTGGGCCTAAGGGAGGGGGTGTTTGTGGGTGGCCCGGCGTGAGGCTGCGGAGGCCCGGGAGGGCGCCCCTGGTGGTGCCGTGTGTCCCCACCTGTGTCCTGCTGCTCTCCCGTGGCTCCCGCCCTGCTTGCCTTCATCTGTTCCTGCTCCTTCTGCCAAGAATCTTCCCCACGCTGCCCCCTCTCTCCTGTGCCCCTCCCGGTGGGACCAGGGCCTCTCCCTGCCCTCCCTGTCTCCCCACCCTTTGCCCTGTCCTGTCTCTCGGGGCACCTGTTTGCTGTCTGCCCGCCCTGCTTAGGGTGCACATGCCACCCGTAGCCCTGTGGCAGTGGACGAGACCCGTGCAACTTCTAGCCCCAGGGTTCTTGGTGTCTCCCATACACCCCTCCCTCTCCCCCGCCGCCGGTGACCTGGTCCTCAGAGGGTGATGGAGTCTGTGAGGCCACGCACAGGAACCCTGGGGCGCCCGTGCCCTAGGCCTCAGCTGAGGCCTGTGTCCCCAGGAACGTCCCCTGGGGAAGCCCTGAAGGCCGAGTGTGAGCGGGGGAAGGGAGCACCAGGCAGAAGGAGCAGTGGGAGTGGAGGTCAGGGCACGTGGCCGGGGAGGGTCCTGCTGGGAGTCAGGGTGAGACCCGGGGGGCTCAGCCCGGAAGGGGCCATGGTGCAGGGGAACCTGGCCTGCCGAGCAGCTGAGCGAGCAGGTGCTGGTGCGGGCTGCCTGCTTCACACCCCAGCCGCCGCCTCACTCGGGCTCTGCGAGTGGGCATAGTGCTGGGGCAGCCGCGTGGGTGCCGTGTCGGCCTCAGCTGTGCCGCCGCTGCTGGGGTGCCACTTGGGGCGGCCTCTCTCCTGGTGCCTCCTGGCTTTCCCTGGGAGCTGCCGCCCCCACCCCCGCTCCTGCCACGGAAGGATCTGGGAGCCGGCACACTGCCAGCAGCCCTGTGAGGCCAGCCCAGCCCTGAGCCTGGCGGTGCCAGCTCGCACAGCGTCCTGGGGCTCCGCGCAGAGAAGGTGGAGCAGGGCCTTGGCAGTGGACCCCCGTGTTCAGGTCCCTGCCCTGTCACTTCTCAGCCATGGGTGATTTCTCACTTGCCAGTTCTGTCCGTGGGAGACATTTTCCACTTGGGAAAAGCAGGGCGTTCAGTTCAGTGCAGCATTCCTGCGTGGGGCGTTGGCCAGGCCAGGCCAGGCCTCAACGTGGGAAGGGTCAGACAGAGGGGCTTCGTCCACGCCTCGCCCGTCCCGCCCGGCCTCCCTGCCAGCGGCGGTGGACTTGGCAGTCAGCGCTCCTCTGCAGTTTTCTGTGCATTTCTGCTCTCGAACATGGCCGCGTGGAGAAGTCTTTCTCAGTTCTGGCCGTGCGTGGCAGTCGCCTGAGGGCTGGGAGCGGGCACTTGGCCTTTGCATCCCAGGTTGGAGCCTGTGTGTTCCAGTCGTGGTCCCAGTTCCGGCCAGAGCAGCCCCTGGCAGGCGTGGTGGTGGCGCGCAGGTCACCGGGTTCCTCCTGCGGTAGGGACCTGGACTGTGTGCCCGGCCCTCAGCTCCGGCATGACCCAGCCTCGGACTCCGCAGGTATCTGGGGGGTGAACCAGCACGTGGGAGTGCCGGCTCTGTCCATCCTCTCTGTCTTTCCTGCCTCTCAAATCAATTGTTTTGAGACGCTGTGCGTAGCCCGCTGGAGAGATCCGGATTCAGCCTCACTGGGCCTGGTGCGGGGCCTGCCTCAGGCCTTCGGGAGTCCCGCGCTTGCTCTCGGGGCGGCCGCCCTCTGCACCTCGCCTGCTTGCTCAAGGTCAGGCTCCGGGTCGGTAGGGACTGGCCCTGTTGCCCCGCTGGTGTCTCAGCGTCTGTGTCACACAGCACTCAGCCCTTCACCTTCAGGCGGCCGTTTAGGGGGTTTCCTGTTGGGCTGTAAGGCGCCGAGGTGAACGTTCTGGATTGTGTTACCTGTGTGCCATGGCGAGAGCCTTTCTGGGGCACGTCCCTGCAGTGGAGATGCTACCCCTGCCCTTCCCCGACGTTGCTGGGCAGGCTGTGGCCCACGCTGACACTCGGCCCTGAGACGTGAGGGTCCATGGACCCCCACCCCCACCTCTCACCAGGCTGCTTGGGCATGGGGGGATGGGTCATAGGAGGAGGCCGGCTGGAAAGACCTTTGACCTTTCCCCCTAGGGCAGTGGGGCAGTGACTGCTGCTGTGACCCAGTTCTCCCCAGGGGGCATCTCTACTTCAGGAGGCGTTGTGACAATGAGTGGGTCACTGTGGTAACATGCGCGCGATCTTGGCTGGCACACGGGACACTCCCCCACCGTCACCTCACCCTGCCCACCCTCTCTGCCCGGCCGGGCCGTCAGCCTCCCTGTCGCCACCCCCACCGTGTGCCGTGTAAAAGGGAAAGCAGATGTTGCCGAAGCCTTTAATGACTTCCCATTGCACACAGACTGAAATCCACACCCCCCGCCCCAGTCCATGGCCCTGTTATCTGCCGTGTCCTCCTGGCCTAGGCAAAAGCAGCTTCTTAGATGGTCTTTGGACCCCAAGCACATTTGGACCTCAGGGCCTTTGCGCTTTCTGTAGCTGCCACCTGTTAGATTCTTCCTCTGTCTTTCCATGCTGTCATCCTCCCGTTTGGAGAGGAGAAACAAACAGACCTGAGAGGACCCAGAGAGGCAGGTGACTTGCCTGAGGTCACACAGCAGGGGAGTGACAAAGACTGAGGGCTCCCTAGTCACCGCTCTGGCTGCCTCTAGTGACTTGGAAGTGGCTTTGACGAGACAGGGCTCATTCCTGGGTTCCTTTTTGAGGAAGCAGTTCCCTGGGGACCTGAGTGACCTGGCTAGTTTCTGGGCACTGGGTGCCCCTCTCCTTCAGGGCGGCCTGTGCCCCCTGCCCTTTCTTGTCCTGCTGGCTCGTGGCAGAGCAGACTTCCTGGCCAGACGTTCATCAGGGGTGTCCCCAGCAGCTGTTTCTCCCATCACCCAAGCTGGGCGGCCGCAGGTGCTGCCGGCAGGAAGCTGTCTCCTTCCAAGTAACGGCCAGGGAAATGGGACCTTTCCTGGTCCGGCCACCATCCGGGGCCAGGACTTATTGTCTGCCAGATGTGGCGGCTGCAGGAAGGTTGGGGGAGCCAAAGAGGGTCAGAGGGGGAACTCCGCCAGTCCCAGGGGATCCAGCTCGGGCAGGCGTGGCAGAGGCCGCCGTCACTGCTGCCTGGCCCCTGGGGCTCTATGGGCCTGTGCTGACCATCGTCCCTGCCAGGGCGCACAGTCTGGCAGTCTGCGCGGGCTGGGACCCTCCCTGGGCCTCAGCTGCCTCACTCGCTAAGGGGCTTTGCTGCTCCCTGGTGGGGCCGTGCAAAGTGCTCTCTGATGACTGGCGACTGAGCTCTGCCTGCCTCCTGGAGGCGCCGCGCGTGTCCTGTTGGGACACTTCCCGTCCTCTGGGCTCCGTGCACAGCCGTGGTGGGGTGCGCCCCGGCCCCCGGAGGCTGAGCACGGGCATCACTCTTCTGCATTTTCATGCTGAGCAGGCACGTTGTTGCAGCTTGTGTGCCTGTTACCTGTTCCCCTAAACAGCAGCTGAAACACTGCGCCCGCCCAGAGGCACACGTGCCGAGCGCGTCTCCTGCTCCCGCCGTCGGGCCCTGTCCAGCCGGGGTTCCTACAGGTGCACACCCACCCTTTTGTTGTCTCCCAGACGGAGCCGACTTCCCACGGTTGTGTTCCCTCCGGACTGCTGCATCAGGACACACAGTGCCGTCTCAGGTGTCGTGGGGTGTGCCCCGCTGGCTTCCTTTCATGCTGCCAACAGGGCTGGACCTGCTTGTGAGTGCAGCTGTGGAATATTCTAGAAGTGGCTGTGGGTCTGTGCTGTATGCCTTGTGAGTTCTGCCAAGGAGGTGGTGCCAGTTTACACTCCCAAGCCCCGTGTCTGATGGC